GAAACGAGAAACAGGACAGGGATATCCTGGACCGACATGGAGAACCTAGAACACCTCGATTTCGCGCATGGATGATTTATGTTTGATGTCACACACACAAAATCGAAGACTTACAAGCGAAAACCGACAAACCGGCCGAAGAAGCAGCCGGCGAAGACAGGACTTCAGGTGAACATACACAAGACGGAGGTTATGAAAATAACCAACCAACCAACAACATCAGCAACATCAAGCGCCAATCACCATCAACGGGAGGGATTTGAAAAAGGTTACTTAATTCACTTATCATCCAGGGAGCATTGTCTCAACTACAGGAAGTCGGAACGGACGAGGATGTCAAATCGAGCGAGAAACACATTCATCAATCAACCTGAAACCAATCTGGAAATCTTCGTCACTCAGCCAGAATCAACAACAAAATTCGGTAGGATTTTCAATACAAACATCAAGTCAGTCAGTTCTTCTATACGGATTAGAAACTTGGCGGGTGGGTCACAAAGAATATTTCCAACAGGCTATTGCAGACCTTTATCAACAACTAAATGTCTTCGCTGTATACTGAAGATCAGATGGCTGGGCCGGAAAGAATCACCATCTATGGGAAACTATGGGAACAAACAAACAAAACAAGAACCAATCGCCAACCAACAAAGATGCAGGAGAAAGTGGATGGAGATGGATAGGACATTCGCTGAGGAGGCCGCTAGGTGACATCGCGCGTGCGTCAGGCCATTGCTCAAGTGGAACCAGGCCGAAAGGGAAGCATGCGGTGAGTGGGACGTCAGTGCAAGGGTGACATGGAGGAGATCGTGTGAGTAGAGAGGAGTTGAAACAGTGTGGACTAACATGGATGCATGTGAGAAGTACGGCAGAAGACAGAAGCTAGTGGAGACGTGCAATTGAAGACCTATGTTCCACTAGGAACCCAAGGGAAGGATAATCTCTGTCTGTCTGGATTCAACATAGAACTTGGCACCGAAGTGCACCAGTTCGAGTTGCCACGTTCCAAATAGCACACAAAGGTAGACAAGAAGATGAGTGAAGAGAATCAATAGAGTTTGACAAGTATAAGAGTGAAACAGAATGGGTAATGGTAGAAAGGAATATGAAAGATTACAGAGACTGAATACATCTGCGCTGGCCATTGACAACGATTTTGAGCCATGTCACCTATTGTCTCCAGCCATTGATTCCTAGAGTCCCGAGGGCCCCAACCCGGGAGTCTGCATCTCCCTACCTGACTCAGTTTAACTGTCAAGGATTTCATGGATTGATGCCATGTTTTTGTTTGGCCACCACTGGCTCTTTTCCAACCTGCACCTATATCAGCTAGTAATGCCCGTCGGGGGAGGCGGTGGTTAGGCATGCGCAGCACGTGACCTAGCCATCTTAGTCTATGTAACTTTATAGCCTCGTCGATTGATTTTCCCTCTTTGCCCAACACTCTACGCCTAACGTCAACATTACTTATCTTGTGAAACCACCTAACGTGAGACAGAGATCGCAGACATCTATGATCGAAAGCAGTCAACCTTTTCATGTCTTCAACGCGTATTGGCCATGTTTCAGAGCCATAGAGAAGGACGGAGCGAACTGATGAGCAGTACACACGTCCCTTGGTTGATAACCGGATGTCACGCCTACGCCAGAGATGGTGTAAGTCAGCGAAAGCAGCTCGAGCTTTTCGGATCCGTGCTGAGATTTCATCGCCAATCAGTCCGTTGGTGCTAATACAACTTCCCAAATAGGTGAAGTGGTCAACATGTTCTATCACTTCACTCCCTATCACTAAGTTAGGGTTGACGTGTCCAGTCCTGTAGCAGCATCTTACATTTTGCAGGGGCGAATCGCATGCCAAACATACGAAGATTGCTGCTCAAGGTGTTCAGAAGACTCTGCATTTTGTCAGCATCCTCCCCTAACAGGACTATGTCATCTGCATATTCTAAGTCCATAAGATTATTCCCTGGTAACAAGTCGATTCCTAAGTCATTACGTTCAGTTAAGGATACTTCCATTAGCATATCTATGATGAAGTTAAACAGAAATGGGGAAAGTGGACATCCCTGTCGGACACCACTGGTTGTTACCAATTCAGATGACAATTCCCCATAAGCCCTTACACGACTACGTGAGTTTGAATAGAGTGCCTTGATTAGTGCAATGTACTTTCTTGGCACTCCCTTCACAGTCAGACATTGCCATAGTACCTTTCGATCCACGGAGTCGAAGGCCGCCTTCAAGTCAAGAAATATGACAATTGTTGGACGCCGAAAAGTGTGTCTATGTTCTAGAATCTGTCGAAGAGTGAAGATATGATCTATGCACCCTCTACCTGGTCTAAAGCCTGCTTGATTTTCCCTTGTCTGTTCCTCCCGAGTTCTGCTTAGTCTATGCATGATTACTGAGCCTAGGATTTTAGAGACTATGTTCGTTAGGCTGATCCCCCTATGATTATCACACGAGGACTTGTTTCCCTTCTTGAATATCGGTATAATAAGTGACTTACCCCAGTCTGATGGCACTGTCTCTGATTCCCAGACTTTGCCTAGTACCTCAGTTAATCTACAAACTAGTATGTCACCCCCATATTTAAACACCTCCGGAATAATTCCGTCGGGTCCTGCCGCTTTGCCTCGTTTCAAATTACTGATAGCTTTTGTAACCTCACTACAGACGGCGGACCAGTGTCTATATCCCATTCGGGTGTGTGGATGGCGGGGAGGTTCAGTGTGGCTGTAGGCAAGTTAAATTGTTCCTCAAAGTGTTCTTTCCAGCGTTCAAGGCGTCTATCCTGAGAGCTAATTAAGGAGCCATTTTTCTCAGAAATAGTCTCACTTATGAATTGCCTTCTCCCACCCGTTTCTGATGAGTCTAAAGAGTTGCCTAGTGTTGCCTATCGCCGATGCTTTTTCCATCTCTTTCGCCTTTGTCACCCACCACTGTTCACGGTCCTTGCGGAGACTTTTAGTAAGTTTCCTTTTGTGCAGCTTTCGCTCCTCATTGAATTCGGAGCTCGCCGGAATAAGTCTTCTAGCATCTATCAGTTCGGATGAGGCAGTCGAAATCCAGTGGTTTTTACTCACCTTTGGATTTCCTTATTCACAGCTTTTACAGCTGTATCTATAGCTGACTGAATATTCTTCCAGGCTTCTCCAGGGTGAGCACAGCTGTCGAATTCAGATATGCGTTTAGCTAGTTCTTCCTCAAATAGGGATTTAGTTTCCTGATCGAGCTGGGGACGTGATGGTTTTACCGCCAGCTGTTTCCTACGTCCGTTCAGTCGTAAGCACACACGAGCCCGGACCAGTGCGTGATCGGTATCTACACACGTGTTCCAGAAGGAGCGACAATCTCCTACCGACCCACGCCAACGATAGCTTATTGCTATGTGGTCTATTTGTGTCCAGCGTTGGTTTGATGATGGGGGTCGCCAGGTTAAACAGTGTCTCTCCTTGTGTTTAAAGTTAGTGCTTACAAGAAACAAATGATTATCTGAACAGAACTGTAGGAGACGGTCACCGTTGTCGGTTCGCTGGCACGGAACTCCATAGGTGCCACCGACATCCTTCTCAGATTGACACAATTTCCCTACTTGAGCGTTAAAGTCACCAGCTAGAACGACTATATCTGAGCGTTTAGCCTTTCTCACCAAACTAGACAGCTTTTGGTAGAACTCATCCTTCGTTTCATCCGAACTGCAGTCAGTGGGGGCGTAGGCGGAGATTACGAAAAGGCATCGGCGAGTAGTGCAGTCCTTTCTCCTTCTTACTGATCCGTTCAGACGGACAGCACACATTCGGCTATCTACCGGGATCCAGTCAAGCAATGTCTTTTCTGCCCTAGTACTCAAGCTATCCCTACGCCAGCTAATCCTCGTGAACTAGCTGTGGCATCTCCTGACACCCTCAAGGTGAATTTTGAAGATTCATCCTGTTGGCCAGGTGGGGTTAGGTGAATAACCACACTTGGGTCTTGTATGCGTGTTTCTGAAACACAACATACATCAATGGCTCGAGATGCCAGGGTCTTAGCTAGTGATGCTTGTTGTCCTATTTGGCAAAGTGTCCTAACATTAAATGCTCCTATATGAAATTGGTGGCGTGGCTTTAGGAGACTATCGGTGGTGGTTTTTTGGCTTCCGTCGTTTTTAGTGGACACAGAGTGAAGAGGGAGTGAGGAGCCATCAAGTAGAGGAGTTGCATCAGTGGGGGAAGGCAAGGTAATAGAGATGAAGATGAAGACAAAGATAAGTGAGGATTAGAGAGGTTTTGTGTGCATTTCGGATTGTGAGGGCGATTGTTACTTCCCGGCTGCCCACACCGTGGAAGTTGGTTGCGTGACCGCAGAGCCCAGGGGACAACTGCTTGAGGCCGGTCACACGCGGCCTGTTTTTGTTCGTTCTTTTTGTTTGGTGTGCCTCAGTAGCATACTTATCACTCCTGCCCTGTGACACGGCAGCAGGAAGCGCGGTCGTTGTTAATCCGGGCCACGGCCGATCCGGCATGAAATTTTGTGAATTTGTATGTTTCATGGTATTGGATGGGTAGCTGCTTTTTGTTTAACCGCTATCCAAACAACCTGCCTGGCATGGTAGAACCTCAAGAGACATAAGTCTCAGCCAGTATAGCTTGATTAGTTCATTGACGTATTCAAGCCCAACCACCACGTCAAAGTAGCAGCTTTCGGTCGGGAGGGAACAATAATAATAGCAAAAAAAGGTCTATAATTTGGAGTTTGTCTGCTTGGTTAATATTCACCCCCTAAAGTGCAACTTTAGTAAGACATTCGAATATAAATTTTGAGTGTAGATTTCTGCATCTCTTAATTGTGCGTGATACGATGTAAGTTTATGAGCACATAAAAAACACTATTTAAGTAAAATGTAATTATTCTTATTTCTTCATTATCGTAAAATTTTACAATTAAATAAACATTTCATTCTCCTTCCTTCAATCATGGCCACCACCAACAGCAACAAGAGCCAAGGGTTAGTTAATTCAAAGGTGAAATTCACCAGGTGTACCCCAAAGTAAAAAACATTTATTCCGGAGCTGGAATTGAAACGAACGATTCTCAAGATGTGTATATGATAAACCATAAGCTCCACGTAGTACAACAACATGCCATGTTGGACCATAATTTTTATGTAGCCATAATTTCAACCTGTGCGCTATTTCTTTATCTCCAAGTTCACCGGGTTCATTTAACAATTGTCGAGCTTCATCACTAATACGAATTTGATCATCAATAGTCATTTGTTGTGAAATCACATAAACATCAGAGCCTAATTTATCTTTGGAAGCTTTCTCACGTTCACTTCTGATTTTATAACTAGAATGTAAGAAAGAAAACGACGAAGAGTTAGAAGGAAGTTAGTTGATTTATATGAGTTGAAATGATGCGCTGCTGTTTCCACCCTGTAGAGTGACAAACTGTGTCCGAATATTCAACGGTTCAGTATGCCACAATGCAATATCCGGAATATAGAATCTGTGGCGATTTTCGTCACTAAATAACCTCAGCTAGAGAGAACACTGGAAACAAAGGACAGTGTTTTCGTCCTATTATGAAACCCGGGAATTTCTGGTTTCGAGACCATCCTCGTTGACTATTCAGCCACTAGAGCTAGGGTTCATTGACCATTGAGTCCCGAATTCGTCAATTCGTGATATATCGATTCCTTTAACCACAATGTCTCCTGTGGGCACCCACTTCACCCTAATATGATGCACCCCACTGGTCAAGACTTCCCACTGTAGCTCCAGGATATTCGTCCAGTAGACATCAGTGAACTGCGGTGTTGTGCTTGTACGGTGTATAATATGCTCAGCTGGCTGAGTCGCATAGTGCTACATTTCGCTCTGATTCATGCTTTTCTTTACAGGATTTCATCATGAGCTGACACTGGTTAGAGAACCACTGGAAAACGTGGGAGTATTGGACAGCTGTTTCGTCCTACTTTGGGACTCTTCAGCAATACGCAACCACCGTAGTTCGAACCCAGGACCTTCTGGTTACAAGTGGGAAGTTGTGACCAGTAGGGTGCAGCAGGTCGGGTGTGAGGACAAATACTTGTCGAAAACATTGGCTAGCGGTTGCGCCATATAGTGAACTGGCAGAAGTTAGAATTCATGGGCCTTTGGATCAGATTTCAGTGGCTTAATGGTCTACGAGCCAGCTCAACTTGTATCCAGAAGGTCCTGGGTTCGAACCCCGTTGGGTGCGTACTACTGAAGAGTCCCGAACTAGGACGAAACAGCTGTCCAGTACTCCCAGGTTTTCCAATGGCTCTCTAACTATTGTCAGCTCAAGATGAAATCCTTTAACCAATCAACCAAATCCCTACAAACCAATACTTGAATGTCATTTTTTTCTGTTCGAAGTCGATCGTCTAGAGCTCACGGACAAGTTAGCTGGCAGTTGGTCGTTACCAGAAAAAGGTCAATTTGGAGTCTTGAGAAAATTCGATTTCTTTTCCGAATCAATAAGTACTTGTTTCCTGAAAAGAAAATCCAAATGCAGTAAGTCAGACAAATTTATTCTGTTTGAACACCTATGATAGCTTTACCATGAGGATGGTCGGGCATTGGAATCCATTAAGCAACCGAAACTGCAACTGATTACATCACGTCTGGAATAGGCTGTATACTCCTGTGTAAAAGTAACACAACTGAGTTCAGAAAGTAGTGGACTACAATACTAGTGACGCTTCAAAAACGACTTTCTTTGCTTCCTTAGAATCACCCCTCAAATAATTCAAATTAAATGAAGAAGTACAACAATGTATCATACTCATAATCAAACAGAAAAAGACATAATTCCCAATTCAAAATAGAAAAGACATAGTTATGCCATCAGCCGATAAAAGAAGAACAACAGTATTCACAGACACAGAAGACCACATGAAGAAGGTTGATGATTTACTGAAAAGGTAATGATACATGTAAGCAGTTGATAAAAAACCAAATACATCAGATAATAAAATCAAAACCAACATCAAGTGAACTGATAAAGTCAAGACAAATTACAAAACAAGATTAATGACAAATGAAATTTAACTGTCCTGTTGCTTCTCGGTTCTACGGTAGACCAAAACTACACACGCTAGCCTCCCCCTTACAACTAATCATTTCGCTACAAAGAACACCAGCATATAATCTATCTAAGGAACTTTTCAAAAAAATAAAATACCTAGCAGAATCATGTGACCTTTCTATCAATTAGCCAATCCAATTTTTAGGGAAAAAAAATTCAAAAACATTCAATTCAACTAGATGACAATGAAATCATGGTGTCCTTCGGTATCACAGCATTATAGACTTCAACTGGTGCAAAACTAGAAAAAGAAACTACGCAACGTCTACTCTATAGCGATGACAACACTAAAACGCAATGTTAAATTTGGATGGAACTCTTAGAATTATGCCTTATAATATGTTTCCAATTCAATAATCAAGATTAATAGCTGAAACCGTTTTGCACAGATAATAATTAATAGCCCAGTCTCAAATTAAACCAAAAATCTGGGTAGGTTATGTTGACGATACAATTGCAATAATTAAAAGAAATGAATTGGACTACACCCATAAACTAATAAACAACATATCTGAAAACATTAAATTCACAAGAGAAGAACAATCAGACAACAGAATTCCATTCTTAGACGTCTTAATCAAGAGAAATAGCACAGGAAATTTAGAAACACAAGTATACAGAAATCAGTGTGCACAGACTCAATACTCAGATACAATAGTAATTGCCCAATCACTCACAAAATAAACTGTACGCAGACATTGTTTAAAAGAGCTCAAAAAGCAGTAGCGTGCCATACTTCAGGTAGTGTTGAAGTAGTTTCCTAATTACCTCTCGGTCGATGCTGTCTGTCTAAGGCCTTTTCGAAGTCGATGAAATTGGGGTAGATGTTTGATTGCCATTCTATGCTTTGTTCTGAGATGATGATGAGCAGAGTTACAATTTGATCAGTACATGATTTGCCTTCCTGAATCCAGCTTTTTCCGTGGGTCTGGCGGAGTTCTGTATCCAGTACATCTTTTATTCTCTCTAGGATGATGCCACTTAGTATTTTACTTGGCGTGGACAAGAGCATTATTTCACGCCAGTCAGTTTTTGCAGGGAACTAAGTTACTCTTTCTTGAAAGTTTAACGAGGTAGCCCTTCTTCCAGTCAGCAGGCTCCTTTCCTTCTTTCCAAACATTTTGCAGACATGGAGTGAGAACATCTGCCATAATCTCTGGGGCCGTCTTCACTGATTCAGGAGGAATGCCATTTGGTCCTGCTGCCTTTCTTTCTGGCTTTCAGTAGTTTGATGGCATTCAGGATTCCTTCTTTCTTTGGAGGATTGGTGTCCAGTGGGACTTCTGCGCGTGCTGTTGGTGGTTTTTCTTGGCGAGTTACAGGTGATGGTTGATTCAATAGTCCTTTAAAGTGATCAGCCGATTGTTTTATTTGTTTCTCCTCTTTGGCGACCAAGCTTTCGTGAATATCTTTTATTGGTTTCATCATCTAGCTTGATCTTTTTCCGGATAGAGGCCTGGTTATTTGATATAATGTCCTGAGATCTGTTTTTCCTGCAGCTTGTTCTACTTCAGTTGCTGGCCAATGAGTCGTAGAATTGTCGTTTCCTAGCACTCTTCTTCACTTCCTTATTCAGTGCAGTCTACACTGAACTCAGCTTCTCCTTCTCTTGTCCATCTTTGCATTAAGTCATCTTCTCTGTCACCATCATCCTCTCCTCAATTAGCTCCCAGGTATGCGTTGATAGCCATTCCTTGTCTTGTCTCTTCCTTCTTCCCAGGACACTTGTACACGTTTCCATAAATATTGCCTTCCAATGTTCTTCCACGCAGGCCTTCTCAGTGATACCACTTAGTGTCTCTAACTTTGCTCCGATATCTGCAGTGAAAGCATTCCTTGTAGTTTTGCCCTTCAGTTTCTGAATATTGAACTTTAATTACTGCTTGTCTCCAGCAAATTGCAGTTGTCTGTAAAATTTGTCTCTCTTCTCTTGTTCGTTGGTGTTTGTAGGTGTGTAGCATTGGATAATTGTAACCTTCCTTCCTTTGGAGTTGAATCTTGCTGCCATTATACTCGGTGATATTGGTTCTCACTGCACTAGGGCTCTGGCTGTCACTGGTGACAGCATGATAGCCACTCCCTCATTGTGTTCGTGGTTGTCGTCTTAGTAGATGGCCAGAGTAGATTATTGGCTCTCCCGTTGACAATATTGTCACTGAGGATCCATTCCATCTGCTTTCGCAGATACCCAGTACTTCTAAGCCATATCTTAGTATGTCGTTGACTACTTAGGCCGCCTTCCCAGTCTCGTGCATAATACGCACATTCGACGTTCCCATTCTTATTCTTGCTTTCATCGAGAAAAGATACATCGGCTGGCTGACTGTCTGACTTCTTAAAGACTTTCACCAGCCCGCTGTGTCATTTTGTCTCTCCTATTCCAGTAAAGAATTAGATCTTTCCTCGATATTTTTTGTATTTTTAATATATTTTTGTGTTGAACTTCGTCTAGCAATTTGATAGGTTTAGTGGTGTAAGGTTGCTAGCGCTAAGCTTAACCCTCCCTCTTTACCCAGGCTTAAAACTAGCTAATAAACTAGGCAAGGTTGGTGAACAGCAATATCAAAATGCTGATATCATCTGTTTTACAGCTCTTGTCGTATCTGCCTACATTAATGTGCAAACACCGATCAATGAAACGATAAACCCAAAACAAAACAAAACTCAGTCTGTACCTGAATGTTGACTTTTATGGTATATATTTATATGCCATATATATATATATATATATATATATATATATATATATATATAGAGAGAGAGAGAGAGAGAGAGAGAGAGAGAGAGATGAAAATTCAAGACTGCAGATGATGAAATAATCAATCCTCCCCTCTTTCAGTACATCTATATGAAACGAAAGCTGTTAAAAAAATCAATACTTCACTGAAATGGGTGAAAACAAATTCAAAGTGATTGTGACTTATTGCAGCGCATATTTCAAATGAATAAAACCACTCTTACTTTATATGTGTGGAAAACACTTGCGGAAATATGATTAAACTTTTAGAAAGAAGAGGACACGAAGTTCAGCAAAGATATCTCTTCGGCGATTTCATCTTCAAAAACTGTACAATCGCATGTAAACACAAGTTTAACATGGATACATAATTACGACGGCGAATAAAAGGTGACAATTATTTTCAACTAGATCTGGTTTACCAGAGGCTTAGAAACAAAATTAACACAGGATTAGAATGGATAACAAGTGTGTAAGAAATAAGCATGGAAACAAAATTGAAATAATAATTTTCAGCTTGACATGGGAGTTAGGAGGTGCGAATATAGATTACAAGAGCCTTCGAAACACAAAAATTGCACAGGATTAAGATATAATTTTAAAATAGTCATTTTAAACCAATTATAAATGTGAGCAGGAAAAGCATGGGAACAAACTTAAAATAACTGTTTTTATAACTGAAAAAATGGGGTGAAGCGAATGAAGACAGAGTGAGTAAGAACTATACACACATCGAATGAAAAAAATCCAAAAAAGAGAATGAAAGAAGAAAAAAACGGAAGCTAAGGGAACATACCAAACTAGGTCCATGTTAGTTGTACGGGTTGGACAAATTTCTTCTGAACACGCAGCTCCAGCTTTTCGATGTATATTGCAAGGACTTCTGGAGTACAGAGTAGTTGGAAACATACTGCTTTTGGTAGGTTCCTGTAGACTTTGTAAATTACTTTGAAAGAATCAGTTGAAATGTTGTGGGAGGTGTTGATCATATGTTCAATAGTGGCACTTCTGATTGAACCAGTCCCTCCTCTTTGCAGCCACGCTTGGTAATGGACTCTAACACGTTTCGAAAAGACGCACATACAACGAACTATGTACCTAGCTCCGCACGAGCAGGTGAACTGGCATATACACACTGAATTGGTCATATGCGAGAGTTTGTCCTTTGCGTTGTTTCGAAATATTCGACGGCCAGAGAATGTCACTCTTAGTGTTGCTGCAGGGAAGGTCTTCTTTTAAGAACTGGATATTCTCCTCTTCAGGATATAAGCTGGTAAATCTTTCCTGAAATTTAGATTCATATACAGCGTATTATTTGGCGCTGAATCTCATCCTTCTCTTTTTGATTTAGGTTTCATGTTCGTTTAGACAAAAACTAGTCGGGCAACCATTTTGAGCCAGGATATCTTTGAGGAATAGAAGCTCCTCTTCCAATTAGTCGCTGCTGCAGATTTTTCCAATCCGATGGGTAAGTGCGATGATGAGAGCTCGTTTTCGGCTCAAAGGTATCCAAGTATAGAAATGCTTTATTTGGCCATTCCATGTCGGATTTTCTGTGGATGGACCTCTTCAGGGTTCCTCCATTTCTTCTTGTCAATTCCACGTCCAGAAAAGGAATCTTTAAATCGTTTTCTAATTCCATTGTGAATTTAATCGAAGGATGGGAATTATTAAATTCCTGTAAGATGCAGTTAAATTCCGAGTTATCGTAGCAAACTATGAAGGTATCGTCAACGTATCTTTTGTACAGTATTAATTTGTTTATTGTTGATTTTAATACTCCACTCTCCGAATTGGCCATAAAGTAGTCTGCTAAAAGCGGGCCAAGAGCATATTTTACTGCGATTCCGTCTTTCTGTCTGTAGATATCGTCATCAAAGTCTACATTCAGCGTTCGTCTTAACAACAATTCCTTCAGATATGGTATTGGTATTCCGACGCTTATGTTGGAGTTCTCCATATAATTCCATGCTCATTTTCTATACACCTGTAATTCATTATAATCCTGCGTAATTTTGTTTCTAAGGCTCTCGTAATCTATATTCACACTTCCTTACTTCCATTTCAAGCTAAAATTATTAATTTAATTTTGTTTCCATGCTCATCTCTTACACACTTGTTATCCGTTTTAATCCTGTGTTAATTTTGTTTTTAATCCTCTTGTGTACCAGATCTAGTTGTCACTTTTTATTCGCCGTCGTAATTATGTATCCATGTAAAACTATGTATTTAAATGGGATTGTACAGTTTTTAAAAATGAAATCCCCGGAAGGATATATTTGCTGAACTTCGTGTTCTATTCTTCCTAATGTCATTAGGGGTATTTTCCACGATTAAACTTTTCTCGCATGTGTTATACAAGAGAGGGGTTGAGCAGAATTACCAGTGGGAAGATATCCGATGCCTTTTTTCACATCAGATAAGTTTATTTCAACTATCACACAGTACTATAACATTAATAACCGGATGACGTTTTGAGCATAAATTAGTAACCGTAGTCATGTCAGTTTAGTCACACGGCTTCACAATTTGTCTTACACATATATTTTTCTCTCATAATGTCTGTCTCTCTGTATGCCTCTTTCTTCCCCATCTAGTTTGCTGTATTTTCACCTATCTCCGGTATAGGCGTTGCTTCGTTTCCATTCCATATCTGCGGTGCTGGTTCGATAAATAAGGTGATCAGTCATGTCCAAACTCTACTTTACTCAAATTTCAAAATAAAGTATACAAACAAACGAATGAGATGGCAATGGGTTCGCCGATATCTCCAACAGTAGCAGACATATTTATGGATAGTTGAGGACATAAGGTTCCTAGAACTTTTAATACTGCTCCTAGTTAGGTTATGGTGGAGGTATGTGGATGACACATCCACTGAGTGATGAAATCTGAACATATCCCTCATTTTGTTTCACATATAAACTCACAACTAGACGAAATCCAATTCACTTTTTAGCTAGAAAACTAACAAGGTGAACTGGCTATAGTAGACTGTAAAACGAAAAGAAAAGAAAAGACAAATCCAACGGAGAAAATGCTTCTTCATCGACGAAATCATCTTCAGAGTCGGCTGTACAGTCGTATTTATATTTACCAAAAATGTATAGTAGTCTATTTATGAGCAATATGGGGGGGGGGTGGCATAATTGATATAATTACTCAGAATTGGCTTTAGAAGTAAAAAATAAAAGTTGTAAATTACGTCGTACTCAACGACACAAAGTTAGAAATTTGATAAGGTTGAAATTGCTATTGAGTGAGAACAAAGGTGGTAGTTGAGTGTCAATTTAACAGGTATGAAGAGGGTGTGAAAATGTACAAAAGGAACATCTATGAGAGTGATAATAGTGAATTAATTACTAAATTAAAAGCAAACTAAAAGTAAAATTGAAAATTCAAAAACTATTTTTTGACAGGGAACGACTAGAGAAGAGATTAAGACCACGGTATAATAAAAGACTAGACAAACGTTTTCTGTACACAGAGTCCGGGGTTGTATTGACGAATTGCTATCGCCTCCGCCATTCACAAAAGCCAAAACCTGAAGCCCTTTTTACCATTTAGCCTCACCTTGTAGATTATCTTGTAAGACGACTCTGATGGAGCTACGTGGCTTGAGTGCTTCACTAGTCGTTCCTTGCAAAAAATATTTTAAATTTTTTCTCTTTATTTCAATTTTACTTTTAGTTTGCTTTTAATTTAGTAATTAATTCACTATTATCACTCTCATAGATGTTCCTTTTGTACATTTTCACACCCTCTTCATACCTGTTGAATTGACACTCAACTACCACCTTTGTTCTCACTCAATAGCAATTTCAACCTTATCAAATTTCTAACTTTGTGTCGTTGAGTACGACGTAATTTACAACTTTTATTTTTTACTTCTAAAGCCAATTCTGAGTAATTATATCAATTATGCCACCCCCCCCCATATTGCTCATAAATAGACTACTATACATTTTTGGTAAATATAAATACGACTGTACAGCCGACTCTGAAGATGATTTCGTCGATGAAGAAGCATTTTCTTCGCTGAATTCACCAATAATTTGTAATTTTTTTCACATTCAGCTAATAACTTACGCTTGTTTCTTTTCTATGCCAAAAACATCACAATACGCTTCCAGTGTGATATAACCAGTATCGTTTGGATCGAACAATTTTTGCCAGCGCTGAAAATAGGAGAAAACACATCGCATAAGAATACAACTCGGGCAGTGTGTTAGAGTACAATTCCATCACAGAGGAAATTTATTTGATGATAAAGTTTCACAGTGTTTGTTATACAGTATTATTATTTACTGATGGCAACGTTTTGAGCACAATTTATTACTCCTCATAATCATATCAGAGTAATCTCACTGCTTCTCAACTTCGTTCATATATTTCGATTATTTCTCATCTCTCGATTTGATTGACAACAATATTTTCCATACCTCGAGTACTGGAATTGCCCTATTCCTACTGCACGTGTTGGGTGTAGATTCTATGAACAAAGATTCAGTAATCAACCACTCTCGACCTCAATCTATCTATCTTACTTTCTAGATTTGTAACTCTCTCCCACTGTATTTTGTGTCTGTGTGTTAATGCGTACAGCGCAATTTTTTAGTTCTCTTTTAAGTTACTTATCCTCGAGGTGTCAGTCATCATAACCTTCGCTAAATTTATATGTTCTGAAAATCTGACTATGCCCTATCTACTAGTTTGAACTATGTAGTTCACCTCACAGTCTTCACAAAGTATTTTGCAAATTATATTACTTTACCTAATTGGGTTATTATGGTTTTATTTATCCTAAATACGTTGCCCCAAGCGAGTTTGTAGGTTTAAATGTCACCTTGAAACCTGCTTTATTACGAATCCTAAGTGGGGTTTCAGATATCCCCACCTTATATGGTAAAGCTGTAGATTGGTTAAAGGATCTCATAATGAGATGACATCAGTTAGAGAACCATTGAAAAACCACGAAAGAGTAGTGGATGACTGTTTCATCCTAGTTTAAGACTCCTTATCAGTACGTACCCGCCAAAATGGTCCCAAATCAGGACCTTCTAGATACAAGGCGAACTCGTAGATGATTAAGCCACTGAGACCCACCAATCCAATGGCCAGACCATGAATTATATCTTCTACCAATTCATGATCACTTCACAATGTCTTCTTCGATGAATTACTCCCTCATCTGCAACCTGCTGCATCCTACTGGTCACGGCTTCCCACTGGAACTCAGTTGAATACATTTCTAAGTGAATGCGCTATGTCATAGATTGAAAAAAGTTAGAGTTAATGGTCTGGCCATTGGATTGACGGGTCCCAGTGGCTTAATGGTCTACGAGTCAGCTCACCTTGTAACCAGAAGGTCCTGGGTTCGAACCCTGGCTGTGGGTGCGTACTGTCGAAGAATCCCAAACTAAGTGAACGAAACAGCTGTCCAGTACTCCCAGGTGGTTTTCCAATGGTTCTCTAACTGATGTCAGCTCATGATGAAATCCTCCAACTAATCACGCTAAATCCCTACAGAAAAGAATGCTTGAAAAAAAACTGTAGATGCCTTATATTCTTTCTTATTTATGCGATCATTACTGAGCTTACTATTAACTGCATTTCTTTTGTGACCTTTTGTTGTCTTCATAATAAACTATATGGGGTAGTTATTTGACATTAAACCCTCTTCTACCTGTTTCATTTCATCATTTCTTTTTTGACGTAATACTTTGTATTATTGCTCAGTTTCCTAGAAATTTAACTACTACTACATAAGTCAGCCACATAGGTTAAACCATGAAGAAAATTGACCTGAGAAAACACTTAAAGTTGACGGTATAGACGTTGGCAAACACTAGTGAGTATATTAGGGCAAGATCTTATACCAACAACTATTAACTTGTTTGATTCTCGTGTACCAAAGGTAAAGCAAAAGACTACAGTTGATTGTCCAAACTACGAGATATATTTCGGAACTAAATTGCGGACTGAAGCAGAAGCTAAACTGGCTAGTAATCGTGCACGAAAGTTACACGATGGAGTACCAAATGGCGGGGATGCTTAACCGAAAGCCTTCATCTAAACAAGTCGACTTTAACTCTAGGGGTCAGCATCCAATGTTCACTGATGATTTTATGATCAATAATTTTCGGGAATTATTTACCGCTAAACACTCAGTAATTCCCCTTCATGTACTAAAAAACAACAACAACAATACAGGGGGAGAGAGTTACAAATCTAGAAAGTAAGAAAGACAGATTGAGGTCGAGAGTGGTTGATTACTGAATCTTTGTTCATAGAATCTACACCCAATACGTACAGTAGGAATGGGACAATGCCAATACTCGAGATATGGAAAATATTGTTGTCAATCAAATCGAGAGATGAGAAATAAACGAAATATATGAACGAAGTTGAGAAGCAGTGAGATTACTCTGATATGATTATGAGGAGTAATAAATTGTGCTCAAAACGTTGCCATCAGTAAATAACAATAACGTGTAGCAAACACTGTGAGACTTCAGGAGAATTCATCACGCCACTTAGATTCTGGTAGCTATAGTGTAGAGAGTGTATTACGTAATGTTAGAGTAATCTGGAGGGGGATGACAAATTCGGGGATTAGAAAAATCAGATGGAATTGGGAATCACCTAATATGCGTGAAAAATGACTAATCAGTCTAAATGGAAGTATGACAAAGTATTTATCTGAAATCCGTAAAAAAAATCCAATGTTGTTAATAAGGAAATAATAGGGCTATGATAGGACGAGTGAGAGTGTATAACGCTTTGAACCCAAAAGAATGAGAAAATTCGATCTGAAGTGTAATATAGCCAGAAAATGATTATTTACGAAAATGGAGTGATTAACTTTCGACGAATCGAATGAGTTTATATCTTCAGGAAAATAGCAATACACAATGAAACACACATCTAGCACTGACTGATTTCCATATTTCAACAGGTCAAGTTTTTATCTAACATGTGATGGAGGGACACGTAGCTTAACTGCTCAACAGAAACAGAATCAACACCTCGTTGTTGAACCTACTATCTGTGAGCACTCAAACGAAAAAAAATTAATTTCCCTCTAAAAATATCGGTCATTCACTTAGACATTTCAACTACCCATTTAGAAAACACAAAGAACTTGGGCTGAATTCAACTCAGTTTTACACTATTTTATCAAACGTCCCTTGTAACTAGATGACTGATATTCACTTCACCTGTCAGGAAGAGGAAAACAATAGTATATCCATTCTAGACGTCCTCCGCACCAAGAAGATAGATGGATATTTATAAAGAAACTTATTTAGAAAGAAGAATTCAGCGCGTTAGCACATCCATTTTCATAGCTTGACACCACTTCAATACAAAAGTGCCTTAGTTATAGAATAAAAAGTATTTACTCGGACGAATCCATTAAGGAAGAACTCTGTGAATTGAAACTGACACCACAAGAAAATGGATATCCAGAGGAATTTTTAAAAAAAAATGTATGTTAATGGTGTATATTGTAGATAAGAAACCTTTGTATCTTAAAAATCAAGTTACAAAGGCGACATTACAGCAGATATTCTAAAATATCAACTTGACAGACCCGTAAAGAAAACATTTCCTTTAGCTAAACTGGTACCCAGTTCCCTAACTAAAGCAGTACTCACTAAACAGGTTAAGGATAATTTACCAATAATGGCCTCGTCAGTGCACATTTATGAATTCAACTGCTGACAGGGAGCTAGTTGTATTGGCAATTTTATCTCACCGAATGGATAGTGAACACCGCATCGGAACAGATGAGTGAGTCATTTATGGTTGTATACTGAGAGACAAACAACTCGCCTAAAAGCACACGATCACGTCTCCTAACCATAACTAAAGCTATACAAGTTATTAGGAAGAAATCTGACCTATGTGTGCACTAAAGCACATTCATACCCTTTGATTACCCTAGCCGACTATAAGGTTGTCAGGGACCTCTTCATCTCATGTTTTCATTTCATATTATGCCTTTCCTATTCCTTTTCTCCTAGTTTGTTACACTCCACTTTTATTAGTATTATGAATAGTGTTCTTAGAAGATGGGGACATGCGCAATACATTTCGAACGGTCTAATCACACATACCTTTACTTGTCAAGTCAGTTTATATGCAAAATAAAGGCCAATTAATATACACAAAGTGACAGAAAGGATTTAAGAATTAGCGTAATAAAAATGATCAACACTACATTGGGTTATATGATAAGATTACCAAGGTAAGCCAGGATAATAACCATTTTTTTCATTTGAACAGTGCGGGAGCTTGAGTTCACAAATAGCCCACGCTTCAGTCTATTTCAGTAAGCCTCCATGACCGTTTTCACAAATAACCGTAAAAGTTGTTTTGACATAAATCCTGTGGTCCATATTGACTGAATGTTTAGCTATAGACGGAGTGGGCAGTCTGCCACTTGCGTCCATTGATTTTTCAAAGTTTATCTGTTTCTCTAACGACTTTGGAATATGGTCTCCCACCCTAACATAGACAATCTGGTTGAAAAAGGTTAACCTTTGAAATTTGAAATCAGTGTTTGAAATCAGTTCGTTTGAAAATCTATAATCTATTCTGTCCCTAAGAAAGATATTATCATTAAATTACCGTACGATGGGTAGGTGAATAGCAGGATTTCAATACAGAGACTGAACTGGGTCATCAGCGGAACCATTTGTGCAACCCGGCTCATAATCATTGAAAAAGTCAAAAATAGGCTCCCCTGCAAACCTCGAAAGTGTACAAGTGATTATGTCATATCCTACAGTGTATGCCAATTTACGTGTGTGTGTGTGTGTGGAGACACATACATAGGAAGGAGAATTCGCGCCTTGCCTGTAAGGGTGGGGGAACATACTGCGAAATGGTTAGAGGAATAGATAATCTTTTAAAAATCTATGGACCCGGGTGGCAGACAACAAATTTCGTCCATGGATAAACATCTAATCGATGTGGACCACAAGACTGACGTCAAAACAGCTTTTTAGGTTACTAGTAAAAACGGTCCAGAGCGCTTATTGAAACACACTGAGGCATTGTCTATTCTTTAACTTAATCTCTCCCCTTGTTTGTACAAAAACAATTTATTGTCACTTTTGAACTACCTTATTAATCTCTATCTGATCAGACAACTTAACGTAGTGTTACTTATTCCTATTCCCCTTATTCATAAATCCTTGTTTGTAAAGTACTGGTTTTTGTAGGGATTTAGTTTGATTGATTGGAGGATTTCATCATGAGCTGATATTAAGTTAGAGAACCATTGGAAAACCTGAAGGGAGTACTGGACAGCTGTTTCGTTCACTTAGTTTGGGATTCTTCGACAGTACGCACCCACAGCCAGGGTTCGAACCCAGGACCTTCTGGTTACAAGGTGAGCTGACTCGTAGACCATTAAGCCACTGGGACCCGTCAATCCAATGGCCAGACCATTAACTCTAACTTTTTCCAATCTATGACATAGCGCATTCACTTAGAAATGTGTTCAACTGAGTTCCAGTGGGAAGCCGTGACCAGTAGGATGCAGCAGGTTGCAGATGAGGGAGTAATTCATCGAAGAAGACATTGTGAAGTGATAATGAATTGGTAGAAGATATAATTCATGGTCTGGCCATCGGATAAGGGGGTTCCAGTTGCTTAATGATCTACGAGGTCGCCTTCTTTGCCATTTTATGTATTTTAATTAGCCTTTATTATACAGATATTAAATTTTCACTCAAATTTACATGCAATATAAGTACAGCGAATTATTGATTTATTCACTTACTTCAACCATTTTCTCGTCTAAATTATTCTTTTCCACATATCTCCTTAATTGTCTTATAGTTATCACATCAGTACGGTCAACATCAATGGCGAAAAATGCATCTAGAAATGGTTCCATTGAAAATGGGAGTCTTTGACACTGTAGATTTCAATGAAAAATTAATACTTAACACTTTATTATAAGTCCTATCAAAACGTTTACAAACTTTTACACTATTTATATCGCCTATTTATAGCGATGCTGTAAAACAATGGAAATAATGATTGATTTCGTTGTGAAATTTTCAGAGAGAGAGAGAGAGGTTGTAGGACTTAGTTTTTCATGTCATGAAAGAGAAAAGAAGAAGCATGGCGCATTTTATCACGTGTTTCTTACAGCATTGAATTACAATGACAATAAACATTAGCCCATCCCAGCATATACATGTACAAACAACAGTAATTTAGGTATTCTTTATAGAGCTACATATACATACGCACATACGTACGCACACAGACAAACACAAACACACATACACGCAGGTATGTATGTATGTGTGTATAGTCATCATCATCACCATCATTGTTTACTGGCGGGTATATTAACTTTTAATTCAATAAATAATTTAAAAATTAATAATAATAATAATAATAAGCAAACAATGCTAGCACAATGCAGAATGAAGGCGTTTTATAAAGTCTATAATCATAAAAGCTGAATGTAACAAAAATAATTTCTCTTTAGGTTGTTACAATTATAAAATAGAATATTTTTTTACGAGTTGATCACGGATTGATATCAGTTAGAGAACCATTGAAAACCAGCACTGGAGTACTGGACAGCTGCTGTTTCATCTAAGTTTAGGAATCATCGGCAGTCCCTCCTACGACAAATCGCGAATTGGTAGAAGTTAGAATTCATGGACTGGTCATTGAATTGGGTCCCAGTGGTTGAATGGTATACAAGCTTTCCTTGTAACCAGAACGTCTTGGGTTCGAACCCCAGTGGGTGCGTACTGCTGATAATTCTCAAACTAGGATGAAACAGCAGCTGTCCAGTACTCCAGTGCTGGTTTTCAATGGTTTTCTAACTGATATCAGTCCGTGATCAACTCGGAAAAAAAAAAACTAATCCTTACAAACCGAACTATAGAAAAATAACATTTGTTGTCGTTATATAGGGCACACGATTATGCAGGTTCGTTTAAGGGTTCAATAACATTTACTAGCTTGGTTAAGCAGGGGGAGATTAAGTGCATAAAAAGCTCAATCCTGTCATACTTAGTCGATACTGAACAAAGCATCGAAATCGACACAGCCTTCGAAGTCGTTATCAAGTATAGTTCGCTTACGTCTCTCACACATAGCTGAAGTTGTTGCAATAAGATCGACTAAACAGGGACTTTGTATCCAAAAAGAACACGTCCAGACGCTGTTCCCACCCTGGCCAAACTTGGATTGATGATTCTTCTCGTCACCAAGAGTGCTTCTTCTCCTTAACCCTCTTGGTTTTTTTCTTTCTTTACTTATTATTACAACTGTTATCATTTTTCGTCATAATTTGTACCCTTCATGCAAACATTCTCTCAATACTATCGTATTTTCCACTCATACTATCCCGACTCATTATTAGTGATAACATCTCTTTCTTCAGTTGATACCTCCACCTGTTTCATTTCACACATTAGTTATTTCATTATGAACCCCTCATTCCAGACTTACTATCTCCCCTTTGATACATACCACTTTGTACTGGCCACTCATATGACACCTCTTATAATCTTGAACTAACTTGTCAATTGTCCTACCCCACACCCTACAAATCTGTTATAACCACTGTCTCCCATTTCACAATATTTTGTAATTGTTTTTAGCCCAGAGCACGTTTGCCACACAAATACTGCGATTTATTGTCACCATACGATTAATCTGTTAGTGTACGTAAAAATGTATCCGCCACATAACTGGCCTTTGTTGTAACGACAACAAAAATTATATTATATAACTGTAAGAACCTGAAGAGGAGAAATTATTGAAAAGAAAATCCTTCGTTCAGATTGACTCTTAATTCATGATATGGGAATATTTCACACTATTAAATCTTGTAACTAACATAACTCATTGAATTTTTTAAATATATTGCTATATAGAGAAATTTAATGATTTTGAAAGAATAGAGAAGATTTTTAGCTCAGGTGGATGATAGCAATTAGTTGTGTTCTTTTACTGGGATAATGTCGAAATTTTAAACAGAGGAAACACCAAAAATACTGCCAGATAATTCCTAGAAGCCTGGTACTCAAGCGAATCAGTGAGTGGTGTTGCAGTGAACCATATAGTTAACGTCATTGTTGATAGGCACTTGACTTCATGCAATAAATTTGCTAAAGGGATTTTGTATGACGTGGAGCATCCACTTTACCCTCAGCTTTCACCTTGCATTTCCTCCGGTGGAACAGGAAGTAACTTCAGGAAACTGTATGCTCGCACGTTTAAGTATAAAAATTCTATGATACCATACTTGGCACGTAAATAGTGTCAGGCAAGAATATTTCCAAAAGGTGGCAGACATTTATTAACAACTGTCTTCGCTCTATACTGAAGATCAGATGGCTGGGCCGGAAAGAATCACCAACAAAAAACTATGGGAACAAACAAAACAAGAACCAATCGCCAATCAACAAATATGGAGGAGAAAGTGGAGGTGGATTGGACACTCGCTCGCTGAGGAAGCCGCTGGGTGACATGGCGCGTGCGTCAGGCCATTTCTCGAGTGGAACCTGGCCGAAAGGGAAGCGGCGGCTTGGTTGTCAGTGCAAGGGTGACATGGAGGAGATCGTGTGAGTAGAGAGGAGTTGAAACATGGATGGATGCAGGTGAAAAGTACAGCAGAAGGAAGACAGAAGTGGCAAGTGGAGACGTGCAGTTGAAGCCCTATGTTCCACTAGGAACCCAAGGGAACAATAATAATAATAAACAATTTCCTCTATCCATCCATCTTTATATACCTTCAAGTTTTACTTTTATTATTTCTATTATATTTATGCTCCTGTTGCTTCTTTGTTTTACTTTCATAATTGCAAACACCAACTTATCTCTATGACTGCTGTAATCTTTGTAAAGAGAACATTATATTCAATATTTTTAAACATGCTAGGATTTCTATACCGCACATAACGACAACACTGTGTGAAACAAGCCCACGGCAATTTTCACTTGTATTATTATTATTATTGTTATTATTATTACCTTAGCTGTTGTCATTATTATTATTATTTCCATTTTATATGCTGCATGTTTTTCACATTACCCCTATTGTAAATGTGGAAGATTTTCTGTGTGATTAATTTTATTTATAATTTGAGGAAATTAGATGCAATATTGTGATTAATTCTGAAAATTCCATTCTGTATCACAAGTACTGTTTTTGGAATAAAGTAAATCATTATTATTATTATTAACAAACATACTAATATAGAACAAAAATTTACCAGCTAATTAAAAGTTAGTCACGTGACGAAAAAGTTCAAAATCCACGTCAACAAAAAATGATCAGTAGCGATGTAAATCGACTACCAGTCATGAAGATCGTTGCCAAGAGACACAATTCTATCATTCACGGAGAATTTAAAACGAGTTCATTTTATGCTAAAACTTGCGCTGAAGATGTTGTGCAGAAGGAGGACGAAAGCTTCGTAATTAAACCAACAAACTCAGAGAACACAATTATTTGCAAATTTAATTATTTCTATGGTAAAGTTAAGAATACAACATTCAGCCAAGGGACTCTTTTCTGCGAACTTATTACCAAGCTATACAATCGTATATATGGTTTTTAGAAAAATTATATCCGGTGAGGGGACTGAATTAGTGTAAATATGTCAAATAATAATGGTTTGAAATAAAATTAAAATTCAGGTAGGTAGTTCCAGTGGGAAGTCGTGACCATTAGGGTGCAGCAGGTCGGGTGTGAGGACAAATACTCGCCGAAGACATTGGCTAGCGGTTGTGCTAAATCGTAAATTGGCAGAAGTTAGAATTCATGGGCCATTATATGGGGTCTCAGTGGCATAATGGCATACTAGCTCGCCTTGTGCATAAATCTTTCTAAAAAGACTCCTTGTTTTACCTGAGGAGACACAAGGTTGGAGCTGTGGGTAGAGTGGGTGTTCAGAGTCTGATAAAATTCCTTTATCAAATTTGTTGCGTGAAATCAAGTACCTGTCAGTGAAGATATCAACAATATGGCCCAATGGGATATCACTCGTCCTACTGACAGTCTTCAGAGTTCTACAGAGTATGACAAAGTCTTTTTTAAGCAATTCAGGAAAGAATAAGGGTGAACAGTAAAGAAGAATAGGTAAGATGCACGAGTTGACAAACTATTTCAGGAGCGGTTGGGTTATACCTGAGTGCCTTAACTTCTTAATGTAAACTTGTTAATGTAAGTAGAACAATAACTACAACTGCGGCAACTATTCTAGGTTGGGGGAGGGTAGGGAGAATGACTTTGAGCAAATCTTTCTTGAACACAGAGACGGGGCTGATAACTTTTTAGGTTGATTGCCTCAGCTATGCTTAGCAGTCAAAGGTGTATTAACTTAGGGAATCGGGCTGACATATTGTATAGAAATAAAAAGGCTGCATTTTTACCAGTCTTGCGATCCGTATCCACCACCAGTAGTGACAATGTTGATCTCCTGATTAACTTTACGACGCTTTTACCAATCCACGCTGGAGAATTCTCAATAGGTCGATGATTGGCTTTCCGAGTTGTCCCACGTATTCGACTGTTTCAACAAAAACAATTAAGTCTATAAATGCACACTGAAGCCGCTAAACTTTGTTGGTAGCTTATCCTTTACCTGTATTGGAATTTTACAACAAGTGGTGAGTTTTTAAACATAGAGCTGGGGCGAAATGTGTTTTGGCTATTACTTTTCGGAGTTTCAACGTCAGTGATTCAGTGGCTGTGTTGCCTTAGCATATCATATAATTTTATCTTTTTCAAATAATGCATACTAAGTGATACTGGATCGATAGTTAGTCTGTGGACTAGACAAGCGCCAAGGAAACCATCAAGTGGAGCCTAAATGGTAAGCAACGAGTAGGGCGTGTGTCCGAGGGAGACATGGAAGAGATCGTGTGAAGAGGATATGATAGTGTATGGGGAATCGTAGGTTTTGATGGAGAGGACTTTAGAGAACAGGATAAAGTGGGGATGTTCACTTGGAGCTTTATGCTGGACTCAGAACCCAGTGGGAATAATAATAATAATAATGAGAGGTTAATTGAATAGTATAGTTACTACATGAGACTTGGGAAGGCTAAAACA